CAGCAGCTATTCTTTTGCTCTCATTATTGATACCCATGACTCTTTTCGGTGGGATCCTTTGCTACTTGCTACTTTCCTAATCAGTTTGTGTGCCTGGTGCTTAAAGTGGCATGTGAAACATAGTAAAAACTCAAGAATTAAACAAAAAACCCCAAATATGTAAATATTTTCATAATTTGTAAGTGACTGGTCCTGGTGGAGTGGTGGTGACATGTTGGGGTGCTAACTATGAGGGCAGCAGTTCAAAATCACCGGTGGCTCAGTGGGAAAAAGGAATGGCGTTCTACACCCCAAAAGAATTACAGTCTGAGAAACTCACAAGGCCCATTCTACCCTGTCCTGAAAGGTCACTATGAGTCGGAATTGACTCAATGGCAGTGACCTTCTTGGTTTGATTTTCCTCAAGAACCTGAGTTTCGTGATAAAAGAAAAAAGCGACCCTATGATTCATATTCTTTGGTATTTATTTATGGTTGTGAAAATAGATATCACACAACCTTTGCCATATTTCCAGGGGTCCAGTTAGTGATGACAATTGCATTAATCAAGTTGTGTGATCGTCACCCATAATAGTTATCACATTTCTGATCAACAATGCAGGCTTTTTTTTGTATGCACTGCATAGGGAATCTGACTCACTTTTACCATTCACAGTTTATGCAAATTGTACCCTTGAAAGATATACACTATCTGTGGCTTTCACTAATAGTGGGTTTAAAATAATTTTTTACTAGAATGAAAAAATATATATGTTGCTTTAAAATTGAATTTTTCACTCCTACTCTTATCGAGTTGATTCCAACCCATAGTGACTGTATCAGACAGAGTAGAACTGCTGCCCCTGTTGGGTTCTGAGATTGTAACTCTATGGGAAGTAGAAAGCCTCATCTTCCATGATTTTAGGAATATTAAAACTTTGGCAGTGAAATCAAACATTGTGGATTATTTTTTAAGCATAGCTAACTCACATACTATCCTGGAATGGAAAGACATAAAATACAGGGGGAAAACAAACAAACTGGATTGAAAAAAAGGTACAAAAAATGGCATTGTTGAACAATCTGGTGTTGACAATAAAGTTATTTATTGTACTTACTGATTGTAAAATTTTGAAGTCGATGTTTATTACCTTAATATGTTGTTGGAATAAAAGGTAGGTGAATAAATAATGAAGTGATGTCCATATTTGGTAGATGAGAACACAGAGCTTGTAGAGATGAAATAAGTAGCCTAACATAACAGGGGGTCAGTCTCTTCATGCAGATTTTTCCCAATCAAAACCTATTCTGAGTTCCGCATTTTAATACACATCTGTTTACAGATGTGGTTTTCTTTCACTGTGGCCTCTTGAGCTAAGAAGTGAGCTGCTAACCTCAAAGTCAACTGTTCAAACTCCCTGGTTGCTTTGAGGGAGAAAGATGAGGCCGCTGTTCCTGTAAGGGTTTCAAAGTCTTTGGAGACTCAAAGGAGCAGTTCTACCAGCTGTGCGTCAGAATCAGCTTGATGGCAGTGCAAATTTTTGTTTTCTTCTTTAGATTAGAAGTCTTTTCCTGGCCTTTGTGTCCCCAGCTTACAAGCACTGCATCGTGTCACTAGAACGTGCTCAGTGAAAGTTTGTAAAATGATGTGCTCTTGACAGGTGCCATGGAGCTGGTTCTGACAAGGGAACACAATAGTACTTGGGCCTGTACCACCTTACCACTCCTGCTGGTGCAGCCACTGTGTCAATCAATCTCATCCGGGGGTTCTGCTCTTTGTTGACACTTCCCCAAGCTTGGTGTTCTTTCCCAGAGGCTGATCCCTTTGACTTACATAAGCAAAGTCCATGAGCTGGAGGAGGAATGCCCAGACGTACTTGGCTACAACAGCAGCTTCATTCCATCTTTCATTCACTCACCATTTCCCAGCTAACATTTATGAAGCATTGGAAATCAAATGATGTATAATACCTACATTCACCCTGAAAGGGATATGAGTATCATAGAAAAGGAAGACACAAAATTTAGGACATAAGTTAATGGCATCAGGCAGGATGTGAAGAAAGCTGGTGTATACAGAAAACTTTACTGGACAGACAGGATGAGTGGTGTCAATAAGAGCAGCAGCAGCAGCAGCAGCAGCAGCAGCAGCAGTCAACTGAGTTTACAGCAATAGCATGTGCAGCTTTCTTTGGTTGAATGCTCTCTGTGTGCCGGTGATGATCCAGATCAGCAGTTCTTAACCTGTGGGTCGCGACCCCTTTGGGGGTTGAATGACCCTTTCACAGGGGTCGCCTAAGACCATTGGAAAACACATAAATATTTCACAATATATAATTACATGTTGTTTTGTGATTAATCACTATACTTTAATGTTGTTTAATTTTGTTCAATTTGTAACAATGAAAATAAACCCTGCATATCAACTATTTGCATTACAATTCCTAACACTCATAAAATTACAGTCATGAAGTAGCAACCAAAATAATTTTAGGGTTGGGAGTCACCACCACATGAGGAACTGTCTGAAAGGGTCTCGGCCTGAGGAAGGTTGAGAACCATGCTCCAGGTACTATGTTGTTGCTAGGTGTCCTTGAGTTGGTCCTGACTTTTAGCAACCATAGGCACACCAGAAAAAAGCATCGCCCTCTTCTATGTTCAATATAGTATCATCATGCCTATTTTGTAAGTGAAAACACTAGGTGAGGATATGTTGTTATTTGCCCCCAATCACCTAGCTGTCAAAGTTGGACTGAGAATCCAGACTGACCTAGTAGTCCTGCTCTTAACCACGGGGATATACTCACGCTGCATAAGGCTTAGTGATGGTTTATGTGAAGCCAAGTGGTGAATGGTATTCTTGACAGGAAGCAGACAAGCCATTGCGGGCCCATCCATGTAGACAGTGATGCTTCTTGACATGACGTCAGTGGTAGTAGGAGCTCCTATGTAATAAGAGCACACCTGAGAGGACCCTAGTAAATATGGATATACAGTTTTCATTGCTAGCTCAGGGTAAGCATTTTAATTATGCACCAAGCGCAGCAACGTTTTGCTGCCTATGTCTAGATGTATTGCATCTGTCTTTGATTTTAAGGTACCAGCAATTTCCTCAAAAAGTTTTGTCGGAATCATTGTGCATTCATCAATGAGTTAGGTCAGTAGAATGCATGCTCTGTGCTTTGGCTTTGTTTTTCCTAGCAAATCAAGTTTCAAGGGATTCAATTAAGGGACATTTTTGAAGTTATCAAATTGATGTTTTCCAAATCAATTCAAATTGAAGAACTAGAATCACAAAGTAACCTGTGTGTGTGTGTGTGTGTGTGTGTGTGTGTGTCTGTGTTAAGAGATGAAATGAGTAGGGAAATAGTATTTTGAAGCAGAAGAAAGTAAAAAAGATCATGAAGCTGGAAGGTCTTGCAGTGGATAGCAGGAGCATGGCATTTCTTGGGCAGCGCTGATTAAACTCATGCTGAGAGAGGAACTGATTCTCGCTGCTAACCTGAAGGCTGAAGATATCAACTTGAAGATTTCCTGCAGCCCTAGTTAGTGTGCTGGCTGGGAAATGGGATTTCGGTTTTTAGGAATGCGTGACTCAGGCTTGCGATTTAATGTGGCAGTTCTTCAGATGTGGCTGATGAATTGGCTCTCCAGACTAGGTTTCTTTTATGTCATTATAGGAGCCACAGGTCTTTGCTTACCAGCGGCTGAAACAGGCACTCCGCATTTAAAGATGCTGGAATGAAAATAACTTATTCTCCAGGCATTTCAAATAATAAAAAAAAGATCACTCACTTCCTGACTACAATGATGAGGGTGACAGTTTGCTGCAAGTGACTGGATTGTGATTTTGTTTTGTGAATCAGAATGTGTTTTAACAGACTTTTAGTAATGTGACGGAATTAATCATTTAAAAATACCAGAGGTATTTGAGGCTCCAGGAGAGCAAAAAATGTGACTGTCACATCAGCGTTTCAACTTCCTTAGCTTTAATAAAGACATAGTGATTGAAAGCCGAATATGATCCTTCCTCAAATGTCTTCCAAAGAAACTTGTGCCGTCATGAGGTGACAATATATTTGAACTGGGTTCTGACGTGCTACTTTTTGAAATTCAGTCTTTCAGCCCAACCCCTAGAAAAGGAAGAAGAGGGCTGACTTTTTGAGGGAGACAGTGCTCATTTCTGTTAACTCCCAGTGATAAATTTCCCACTTTTGAAATCCACACTCTAGGCTAGTACCCTCTGGAGGACTTGGAAATAGGAAGCATGATCCCTCGACAGTTGTCTTGGTTTCTGTCCTTTTCATTGAGACTGAAGTCTCACAGTCCTCCTGAAATCTCTCTTAGACTTCCTGAAAGGTAATTGCAAAATCACAAGTAAATCTTTAGAGGCATCGACTTGATGGTAGCCTCTTAATTGGAAAACTGTATTTGATGACAGCACAAAACATTTGAAATCATCCATATTTGGTTGTTTATAGAATTCAACAATTGTTGAAATCATCCTGTTGAGGAACTGTTTTCAACATATTGAAATGCAGTTAAGATCTCTAAATGAAGGACAAGTAGCCCTAGAGTGTCCCTAGTGGGTTGTTAGTTGGGCTGCTGACCTCAAGTTGAACAGTTCAAAACCACCAAGCTCCTTGAGGGAGAAAGATGAGGCTTTTGCTCCCATAAAAACTGACAACCTTGGAAATCTACAGGGGCAGTGCTAATCTGCCCTGTAGGGTTCCTTTGAGTTGGAATTGATGGCAGTAACCAAGTGAAAATGAAGAGAAATTATAAAGCTTAAATGAAGATAAAGGTTAAAAGCATTTTGGGGGGAGGGGCACGCTTGTAAAGCCATAATTTCAATATCAGTGTCTTGATTTAATCTACCAACAACAACATATGCCAAGCCACAGTAAAGATCCCATTCACCTCCTTTCCTTTTGCAAGATTCGTTGCCCCAATCATAATTGAACAAATGTCTAAGCATTTTTAAAATATTATTTTTTTCTTCCTTTTGTATCTTTGCTTTAGGGAACGGCTTCGAAGACCTGGAAGATGAAAGCTCCAATTCCACACTTGATTCTCTTATATGCCACTTTCACGCAGAGTTTGAAAGTTGTGACCAAAAGAGGCTCAGGTAAGCAGTGTTCCTTCCTTCACGTTCCTTTTCATGGCTCAGAGAGAATTTACATGTGCGCCTTCTGTGGAAATGGTGTGAATGAGCAGAAATTCATATTGTGGTGCTATTGTCACTAGACCTTTGAATGACTGGAGCCCAATCATAGAAGCCCAGAAAGGGAGAAATGGTTAAAAAATGAGGTTTATTGTGTTAATTACTATGAATTGGAATGAGTGTACTACTGAGAGCTTGCAGTTTGATTTCATTTTCTAGCATAATTTCAGCATTCTTTTGTAAATGGTGTCACAATTTTTGCATGAAAATATCAATGTGCATTTTCCCCCTGTGAATATTTAATGTTCCCACTTCAATGTCAGCTATGCCTAGGGCAGATTCCTTTTTGGTTGAACTTCAGCTAGTCTGATAAATTATTTTACAAGTATTTAAAGAATGCATCAGAATTGTTGATGAAATTACTGGGGAGAAATCCTAACATTCTGGTAGAAAATATAGAGAAAAAATAGAATGGTAACATGAGAGGCTTTACTAAATAGATTAATGTTGAAACTTATGGAAAACGTTATGCTTTCAAGCATCTTGGATCTCAGCTGACTGTTGACATCGAGAATGAGCAAAATGTATGAGACCAGTGGAAAAATACGGTTACTGACCTGAAGCTATGTCATACCTCATAAGTTACTGATAATACACAGCCTTTCCATGCTCATATTTTATATAATTACAGGATTTTTGAAGAGATAGCTATTGGGTATAATGTAGGTGGGCGTGTATTGTGTTTAGTTGCTAGAACAAGAATGTGTTAGATCTTTACTCTCAGGAGCCAGTGGGAAAAGAAAATGAGATCATGTGTCAGAGGCTGCACAGTGTTCTGATGCCGGCATTGCGTGAAGAAAAGTAGGGCGGAAATTCGGGAAGGCAAGGGCATGAAATAGGGCTGCGATGGGCTGGCTGTGCAGCTACCCTTTGGTTAGTGCGATTCCAGCTCACATTGATGATACAGTGCCGAAGACCTCAGAAAGAGCAGGGGGGAATTAATCCTATCCATGGGAAAACAGGGGAAGAAATTGAGGAGGGAGTTGTACATACGCAAGGGGATGGTGCAGGCGTCAGAATAAAAGGAATTTTACTGAGCCAAAGGGTTCTAGAACTTTTTTGTTATTGTGCAACCGTTGTGTCGGCCATTGGTGTGACGCTAGTCAATATGAAAATAAAATGGAGTGTTATATGTATTGTTTCATCTGTTCTTTTTAGTTGATTCTTCCCAACAGGAGAGAGACGTAGGTCTGTTTAATGGCGTAGTTATTTTTATAATTTGAACTGATGCGTAGCAAGCAGCAGATGTCTTGGTTCTTTTCAACTGCCATTTAGAAGGAAAGTTGATGCTACCCGTGGGGGTTAAATTAGATAGACAAGGTTAGTAACTAGTGACGAAATCTGATTACTTGTACAACTATATATTTGCTTGAGCAGCACCATATATTAAAATGATTTCACATGAATCTCTGCGATAGTGGTCCTGGAGAATAAAATCATCCATTTCTCTTAGAATCCTAGTGCAATGCAAACAGTTCATCCAATTCAGAAATAGGCACGGCATCTTAAAAATTTCCTTTTCCTGAACATCATACCTGTCTATATAAAATCTGTTTCTATATTACTTTCTGTGTAGGTTGTCTGTGCGGTTTATTTACCAAAACACAAATGTGACTCTTTTTATTTTCATCATAAAATAATTGCGGCAAGACCACTCCTTACATTCTACTTTGAGTGAGGGCAGATACAAACAAACAAACAAACAAACAACCCAATATTTTATTAAATCGTGCCTTAATCTGTGTGTTTGAGAAGCATGGGAACAGAGTCAGAAATGTGAGTCAGTTGGCAAATTTGTATCTCTTGCTGCTCAAGGGACTGGAGAAAACTCAATGACCTGTCTCAAATTAAAATTTCTTCTGTAATGACACGAGTATCATGCTGTCCTACGTTTGACCATTCTGAGGCCTCAATCTCTTCAGCTTTAAACTAAAGCTCTCAGACAATGACTTGACACTTCCCAAGCCAACATGTGTCTTTGACATTGTAACTTGAAAATGATAAACGATGCAGGTAAGGAGCTCTTTGAAACCAGCTTCACGGGTTTCCTTTTTGTGTAATGTGAATTAAGAGAGGTTTTTTTTTTTTTTCTCTTAAGACACAGATGGATGGAAAGCTTAAAATTTGTTTGGCTTTGTCTTGTTTTTAGCTATGGAGGGTATGTACAGTGAGGAGATCCACAATCTTCTTTTATCCACATACTGTAGTAGCTTGCACTTACTTAAGCTGATGTCTGTTACCATGGCATCTTTGCAGAAGAGAAGCAGATATGTAGTGTACTGAAGAGCGTCATTACTGATCTCCCTTGATCAAGTGGAAGAGGAGTGCACTTGACCTCTTCTCTTTAAAAGACTAATGACTCAATCTTCACACCCAGCCCAACCTATAAAACCAGAAGCACCATGGCCTGGCAATAAAAATCAATTTTTGATGTTTGCTCTTGCATATTCACTGAGAGGGCTACTTAGCCCTATTCTTTTCTCCTCTTATCATTTCATTCTCTCTCTAGTTTTTTATTTTATACACCTTTAAAACAATCCCACAAACATGGTTTGAAACTTAATGCATTTCACATGGCTTTTGCTCAGATATTAGTTTAATTCATGCTGATCAAGAACCTATGAGATATTTGTATGATGCACCTGATAAAGTTGACAGAGGTTTTTTGTAGTGACATGTTAAATGGTGTAGCATTTGTGTGGGATCAACACATATGGTCATTCCATAAAAATTTAGAAGTGGGTATTTATTTCTCATTAACAGAACTCATTTGAAAAGCAATAGGAAACCTTCATACACATGCAGGAGCGGCATTATTTTTTATCACATTGGCTTACACCCCTATTGCTAGTAATTTAAGAAACAAATTAAATATAGTAAGGTAGTTATAGCACCACAACAGCTTTGGTTGAGATATTAAATTTGACTTTATAAAGTTTCACGTTAAACACCACATCCAGATCTGATCTACGTATGCCTTCGACAATTTAGGATTGGATCTAGTCTCAGATAGCATTCTAAAACTGTAGAAACATTTAGAGGCAAGGTTTCAACAAGCTGTGCACTTAGGTATTCAGCCATTGTTAATAATAAATTTTCTCCTGGAACAATTTTGTACCTTCCTTTTAGTTTTTTATAAGCAGCGTTTGACAAAAGAAACAAAGACTATCAATATTACTGATTGTCCTCAATAGTATGAAGTATCATAGCAATTCAGTAAGTAAACACTGGAGTTTCTGTCATTTGTAGAATTCTAGACAACACAATACAAAGCCAGACCAAAAATAACAGCAATCTTTGAGTCTCAACCAGTGCAGAAAGTTTAGCTTCACTTTCTTGTGTCTTTCTTATATTTCTTCTTCAAACAAAACCATTCTGGGTATTCCCTAGGTGTCTTTGTTTCTAAAAAAAGAAAGAAAGAAAATATCATTACTTGCTTTGAAAGGTTAAAGTAAATGAAATGCTACATTTTTACAAGGTCATTCTAAGAGGTCTGGATGGCCTATGTTAATAATGACTATTAAATGTTTCTATATTTTGCATGGTTAAGTGCAATTGGGGGATGGGTTTATAGGCAGGGAAATGATATAACCTGTTGAAGAATTATTATGGACAAGGCATGTCAAATATTACTACCATTCTTTGGGGGACTTAAAAGCACGAACTGTAATTATGGCTGAAGAGCGTGGAAAACCAAAGAGACAGGAAGCTAGAGGAGCGTGAATGTAGGGCTTAGGGAAGCAAAAAGGGGTCCGTGATATTTTTTCCTATGCCTTTCACTCACAGCCATAGCCTGAATGAAAAATGATGAGGGCGAGGATGAGAACTCTGTCTCCCATTGAGGACAAGAGCCATATCTTATGCAGCCTTAGAACCCCGACAATGACAAGTACGGTGTGTGAGCCAGAGTCCGGCTTCCTGTTTAGGCTGGGCTGCATCACTGAGGATATTGCAGGAAGGACAGAGTGTCAGAAAGAGAAAATAAAAATAGGGACATTTAATAGAAAATGGGGTTTTACCCCCTTAAAGGGAAATTAGTGTAATGTGTGTAATAAGAAGCGACTGAAGCAAAAGATAGGAACTCTGAATAAGCACTAAGATATGCTAAGCGTTTGTACAAGGATCTTTACTTTACAAATCATGAATGATTTCATGAATTTGGAATACAGTTCAAAGTCATTTTGAAGGAAAAGGAAATTATTCTTCAAGTCTTTCTGTGTTGGAATTTTGCCACAGTTAGTGCATCTTTAAAGAAGCAGCAATGCCATTATGCAGACGTTCTGGGTTTAATAGTATTGTTCAAAAATGGCTCTCACGAAAGGATGTAGTCCATGATTACTGGTGCACGAGAAACAAGCAAGCAATTTCAGTGTAGAAGGGATAAAGTATTCACAGTTATTAGAGCAAATGGAAAGGTCTCAATGGCTGTATTATATAAACCAAAGACCACATGCTATTCTGGAAGGGATTGACGATCCATATACGAGCTCCTTAAAGCAGCCAGCTCTGAGAGAGTAAGAAGGGTTGCTACAGGACCTTGGTTGTTTCTTCCTTCTAGAACCCAGCAGTGGACACCTGTTACTAGAGAATGATTTCGATGCAATTCTTCCCGCCAGCAAGCAGAAAACCAAGACTCTCAAGAGGTTTCCCCTACCTTCTGACTCTAGGTTCAAGTCATTTCTGAAGATAAGGGTAGTTCAAATCCCCAAGCCATAATTTAGAGTATAGTCGTTGTGTTTGTTATCTCTGTACCTTCATTTCTTTAAGTAAAAGAAATTACACGACGGTGCCAATCGAGTGGACTTGAAATGAGTTGGAGCGAGAGAGTCGAGTGGGCTATTTCTATCACATGCCAATGTGATTTATGAGCATCAGTTCGCTTGGGCATTCTGAGAAGTCAGTGA